CGTGTCTTATGTCTATCGTATCTGCCCACAGTACTACGAGAGTGCCATCGACAAACATAAAGGCGTGTCGAACCTAACGCAGATGTACATAAAGGCAAGTACTATCGTGTGTACAGAGGAGAGAGAGGACTGGAAGATGAGAAGGCGAACAAGAAAAGAGAGAGAGAGAGAGAGAACCGTGCCAGAGGAGGGATAGACAGAGAGAGAGATTAAAGGAGGGACGAGAGAAGAAAGAGAGAGAGAGGCAGACGATGGCAGAGAGAAGAGAGTGCCATGATTCCGAGCGGGGGAGAGCGGAGAGCGAGAGCGAGGAGCGGGACGGGGAGCGACGGAGAGAGAGAGTGACGATCGAAGACAGCGTTCCAGAGGAGATATGAGGACTGAAGGAGAGAGGAGAGAAGATGTTGACCGTGTATATATTGTCCCAATGCAACACTACACCATATCATCGCTGTGGTTAATTAACATCCGTGTTGGCAAGTCGAGTTAATTAAAGTTATAATAATAAAATATCACATGATATCACATTCTACTTGTGTAAAATTGTTTGTTTGTACACCAATTTCTTCATTTCTGTCATGCGGACAAATTTTACATCATTTCCCAGAGCAAGGATAGTTCATTAGTGTAATATATATATATATATATATATATACATATTTATATTTTTTTATTTATATATATATGTGTGTTTTGTTGTTATTGGCTTCCTATAGGAAGCTGTGGAATTCATTGAAGAGCACTCAAACACGACTAAGCCGTTCTTCCTGTACTGGGCGCCAGATTCTACTCACGGCCCCGTGTATGCATCCATGCCTTTCATTGGCAAAAGTCAACGTGGAAGGTACGCATACGTCGTAGTAGTGTACGTTACATGCTATGCGTGCAGTTACCCTTTAAATTTTAAATTTAAATTTGCGCCCGTTAAATGTCTAAAGATGCTGTGTTGTATGAAGAAGAATGGTGAACAGCAAAGAGAGGATATTCCATAAAAAAAATCTTGCGAAAGTTCATTAAAATTGCATTAGTGACCTAGCTGCCCGCTTTCGTTTGCGTTTTGCCCATGTTTTGCATTGCCTGCATTCGTAAACTCAGTAGTGTTGGTGATGTGGTGGGGGTCTCGCCTACTCCACTAACGAGTCTAGGGAGTCGCCTACGCCTACTCCCTAACCCTAATCCTAACCCTAACCCTAACCCTAACCCTAACCATATAAGATAGTTACCAGGGTACGTTCCGGCAGTACCCTGGGGGACATAGACCCTATGAGTATGAGCAGTAGTAAACTCAGCGGGGATGTGGTGGTATGGTCAGTTATGCTTTGCTAATATTTCACGTTGCCTGCAAGTCATAAACTCAGCAGTGTTGGTGATGTGGTATGGGTTAATTTTCTGCTTTGCCTTTACTGTATACGCGATATTATTCGGTGTTATTCGGTATGAATTATTCGCGTCAAGCGCGGATTTAGGCCGGTTTGCACCGGTTTCCAGAAACCGGTCACAGGCTGGGTATCTTCAGAACTGACCCTCAAAATTCACCAGAATGCACCAAATATAGCCTTTTTTTTAATTCCCGGGGGGGGCATGCCCCTGGACCCCCCTAGCTGTGACTAGAACTATGGAAACTGGTCACCCAAACCTTCTGGATCCGCCCCTGCGCGTGTGGTTACTTTCGTGGTCGGGGACGCGTTTGCGAAATTCGCGAAAATTAAACCACCGCGAAATATACAGCGTATACAGTATTTCACGTTGCCTGCAGCAGCAAACTCAGCGCTCATATGATCGGGGATTCTGATTTGCCGCCCCGCAGATACGGCGACGCGGTGATGGAGTTAGACCACGGAGTCGGCGCGATCCTCCGGACGCTCGAAAGACTCGCAATCGACAAGCGAACGTTCGTGTTCTTCACGTCAGACAACGGAGCAGCCGTCTCCGACAGAGCCGCGAGTGAGTGGCGATTTCGCACGCGCGTGGGCGCGGAATTTTCGAATTCGTCTGCTCATGGCTGCGACGGAGGGGTTCCTCCATCTAACGCTGGTGTACCCATTGTGGTTACCCTGTTGACAAGAAGTTGTAGGATTGTTTTCTTAGACCCTTCAGTCTCCTGGGAGACACAGGTCATTGGTGAACTTCATCCATGTTTCTCGGTTGATTGCCTTCCGCTCCATTTCCCTCCAGGTTGTAGGGTTGCCCTATTGGCAAGCTATTGCATTGTAGGATTGTATGGTGTATGCTTGTCGTGTTAGGAAACATTCGACTGGCACGTACGTCGCACTGCTCGTTAAAAAGTTTGTTTTAAAGTTGTTAACGAGGCAGCGTTGAACATGTTAATTATACGAACGTCGTTGAGTGATTTCGCTGCCAACAGGTGGCAGCAACGGACCTTTCCTGTGCGGCAAGCAGACGACATTCGAGGGAGGAATGAGAGAGCCAGCTATAGCGTGGTGGCCCGGCCAAATCAAGAACCCAGGCACTGTGAGTGCGCGGCGCCGGCTCGAAATCCCGTCGAGCGTTCCGGAAGCTGCATATGCGCCCGTTAATTAATTAATTAATTAATTAATGTGCCCCTTGATTAATTGTCGCCGTTATTCTGCTTGATCCGATCGAAGTAGGGCCTACTTGCCTGATAACGAATAATCCTGATTAGTAGGGATTACCTCACACGTGTAACGCCGAACAACCGTGGTAAAACAGGCCCTGACACGTCCGCCAGAACCCCTTGGCCCATTCGATACGCGACGCGGTGGGAGAATGGGGGGTCTTTCCTTCTTTTTCTTCATTACCTTCGCGCAAACGGAGGTCATGCAATCGCTCTCGTGTGTGTGTGTAGCCACCGCGCGATCGATAGCGCGTCGAGTCAGCGAGTGGCGAGTCAGCAGCAGCCTGCGTGAAGTTGAATGTTGTTATTATTGTGGTTCTAGTGTCATTATGCGGCGCAAACGATGGAGATCTTCCGCATAATATAATAATAATGCTCATGGACGATGTACGTTACATATGTACATAAGTATTATGGCTTAATTTCACTGTGAAAAGAGCCTCGTGTCTAATGTTCAGTGCGAATGAGCGAATGTTCAGCACAGACTAACGCCACGGATACATCCGTTATGCTCACGTGTCACCTCGGTTCACGTGCCAACACGGTTCATGAACCGAGCTCACCAATCTCGAGATTGGTCAGTTCGGTTCGCCGTCTAACTCGTGTACTAACTCTAATATCTCGCGAACAGTTTCTAAAATTCTAGACACATATATAGCTCTAGTACTATAGTATAGGTGTTGAACAACAGTAGAGGGCGCCTCCATAGGCGGCAGGCCTGAATAAGCATCGAACAGAAATTAATTAAAAATACGCACACTGTTACTGCGCTTACAAAACATACACTTTATTCATGTTAAATAACTACAGATTCGTGCTCTATCATGTCTATGCTCCGCTCGAAACTTTTGCCAGCTCTATGATGCGAATTTCTACAGAGTAGTCGGATCGCTTTTCATACACAAAAATGACCGACCGGCGACCATGGCTACGCCACTAGCTGGAATGGCACAATTACACAACTAAAATAATTTTACTTCTAATGCTTTCTAGACGTCCACGAGGCATCTACCTTGCGTGCATAATGCAAATTATTGCACTCTAGTGCCGAATTTCGGCGAAAAAAAGAGCCAAAAAAGGCCTTTTCTAGAGACGAAATAGTGCAACGGTGAACAATTGCGGAAGCTTACTGTTGTACACCTCCTATATTACATTGACTGACGCCAGCGGCAGTCAATGTAAGCGGGGTATAGTACGTACTAGAGCTACATCCGTTACGGACGTATCCTGTAGTCTGTGTGTTCAGTGCCCTCGTTACGGCACTGCCACCAGGCAGTGTTACAGACAGTCTTGTGTGTGTCTGTGTGTGACTGTCAGCAGTTGTATCTGCCTGCTTGCCTGAGGCTGTGCGACGGCACAGGCATTGGCAACGAGTGCCATAGACATATCCCCCCTCTCTCTCGCATACTCATCTTTTTCTCTCCCGCACGCTTTCTCTCCTCTCTCTCTCGCCTCGCTACTCTCTCTCATCTTTCCCTCTTCGCTGCTAGCTTTCTCTCTTCTCGCTGCATCTCTCCTCTCTCTCTCTCTCTCTACTTCTCTCTCTTCTCTCTCTCTCTCTCTCTCTTCTCTCTCGTCTCTCTCTCTCTCTCTCTCTCTCTCTCTCTTCTCTCTCTCTTCTCTCTCTCTCTCTCTCTCTCTCTCTCTCTCTCTCTCCTCTCTCCTCTCTCTCTCTCTCTCTCTCTCTCTCTTCTCTCTTCTCCTCTCTCTCTCTCTCTCTCTCTCTCTCTCTCTCCTCTTCTCTCTTTCTCTCTTCTCTCTCTTTCTCGCCCTGAATGTTTTAAAGTTGCTTTAGTCATTTTAACAGGACGTTTCATCTTAGCCAAGATCGGAGTCGGACTCTCGCGTAAGGCGGTTGGAGAACGGCGCGCGCTCGCGCACCTTACCTCACTGCGGGAATTTTCGCGGCGTGGGTCGCGGCCGATGTGGTAAGAGCAGGGGTCGCGCCGTGCTGCGTTCTGCTCTTCGTGCTGGTCATGTTGGCCAACGACCTGTCCCGGAACAGAAGTCGATGCCTGCGAGACAGGACACACACACGCGCGCATTTATACGTATAACACACAAACACATTAGCTACAGTTGATAAGCTCTTATATTATAACAATTGTGCATTTATGAGAAAAGCATGAAAATTCTAGATTAGTTAGTATATACCATGATGTTTATTTGTCAGATGTGGGAGGGAAGGTCAGATATGACCTCTGAGGACCGTGAGAGGTCAAATCCAAGATGGCCACCAGTCCACCGGCGTTTAATGTTTAAAACGCGCTTGATTGTTGGAACCAAAACAGCGTAAGAAAAACATTTAAGTGTCGATTCCAACTAATTGGGGATGACCATTTATTTGGTGATACCTTTTGAGATCGCCAGAACTCAAAGGACCATGCATTTAGGCCAATGGTCAATGTCAAAATTGACCAAAAAATAAGAATATAGTTAAAATTTGCAAATAAACACAGACAATTAAACAATGAACCAGAGATGTCATGTCGTATTCAAAATAATCTTAGATTCCCATATATTTGATGATCATTTTCAAGTGTGCCAGCACTTTGAACCCTGGCCAGATTCCTGTCCTTGCTGCTGACCAACCATTGTCATGCCTCTTGCATAAGGAAAGTCCAAGATGGACCGTGGCCAGCCACTCACAGAAGAGGATCACTTTGTGGATCATGTTCCGGTGGTCTACACATCAACACCCCCCCCCCCCCCCCCCCCGCCCCCCCCCCCCCCCCCCCCCCCCCCCCCCCCCCCCCCCCCCCCCCCCCCCCCCCCCCCCTGGCAACGTGAAGTGATGGGAGACTGGTGGAAGACAGTGGTTGGACGAACGCCCTGGTACAAGCTGACATTGCAAGTTCCGGAAACAGCAAATTCCTTTCATACATTGCCAGGGCATGCACCAAGGACACAGCCATGTACACAGGTCACAGCCTGACAAGCCTTTATACACTCGATTCAACAAGCCTACAATCGAGACTGCCAGCATCGATAATACTATGCCATGCTACGCAGATAAGTCCGATTCTTATGAGGAGTGGTGCTACAGCCAGTGTCCACTTTGACTACTGTGCTCAAGGCCCTGGCCTTGGTGCTTCTCTGCTGCGGTACATTCAGCGTTCACTTCGCTAAAGCGTAACTTTCATGTTGTAACGTTGGAATCCTGACGCAGATAATGCCTGGATGTATTGCTCTAGCAATCACACGCATACTCCACGGTGGCTTCCGTAACACATCGTGACATGACGACTCATTGCTGAAAAAAAACCCAAATGTCCTAGCGCAGAATTCAAGTGGGAAATTGTGTGGTGCACAAAAACACAGCCAACAGCTTCTCTCTGCCCTATGGCATTGACCCAGTCCCATTGACCAAAACAATGGCAATGAGGTGAAAGGTTCTGGTATGGTATAGCTAGAGACTGACACTGACAGGCAATCCAGGAGCACTCAGACGCGGATGGTAGCAGGGCCAGAAATTGTCAGAATTACTACAGGAGTTTTGAGGAACATGCCTTATAAAGTTCAACAGAGGCTGAGGCTGTTTGATACTGCGACACCCTCACCATGACCAGCAACCGGCAGAGTGCAAGCCAGCATTCCTGAAGGTCAGGTTAAGGCACTTGTCACAGTGCTTGAAAGAGAGTGGTAGAATTCATTTCTTAGACAACAGCCAGACCTTACTAGTCATTGACACAAGGACATCATGGGACACCCAAGTGGCTGAAATTGTCGAGATAGGATTGAGACCCTTTGGTGGCGCGAGCAGTACACTAAGTTTTGACAGAAAGGTTTAGAACAGTGGACCACATTAAACAGACACTTCAAAGAACAAGTTGCCACTTTCAGTAGGCCACCGCGTCATGTTAAGTCAAAACAGAAGGCACACAGCTCGCAGCACTGAAGAGTAACTGTGGTCTCTTTTGAGGCTGTACATCTTCCTTGTCAAACTCGAGATTGAGACCATCAAACAATTTTTTTCCCCATGAAAACCATGGCAGCCCCGCCATGCTCTGATCAACTGGAGGAAAAATGCGGTTTGGGGGTAAAGCAGATCTACTTCTTACCTGGAAACAGATCTGCTCGAACAAGTAGCTGTGCCTGTGGCCTGATGCAACAATTTTGATGGTGCAGCTGTGGGGTTCAAAATCGCTAATCCTGGACATTCAATGTACATTTAAAGATGTATGCAGAAAAAAAGGTTTGCACCATACATCTCTAGCTCAACTCGAGAAAATGCAGCCGCATCGACTTGTCTGGATGTATAAACTACCTGCCAGCCCAAAAGCCTCACTCAGACAGAATCGGGGAAGGGCATCATAAAAAGGGGTCTCCTTTACTGTGATGCCAAAGAACTGGCAAGGACTTCCTTCGAGAACAAAACAAATTGTTGCTTGTCTGATCACGCGAGGCTCGGCCGTTCACATTCTCTTAGCAGAAGTCAAGAAAACTGTATTGGCCAAACAGTTGGAAGTGGGGTCTGTGTCTCCTGCTCCTAGTCATCCTTGGGCGCCTTGCCCCATGTCACAAGCGCAGGCTGACACTTTGTCTTAACTTCTGCATGTTGCGCAGATGCTGCTGCAAAAGAGGGTGTAGAAGTGACCCATACGGTACCATTGTAACTGATGTGGTAGAAACTGCTGGTGGCTTCATTTTATGCTAGATAGCTCCTGATGAAACTGTGGGTATGCCTTTGGTCGTTGGCTCAAGCGTTCGGTAATTGGCTGTTTCACATAAAATGCTTGCCACAATAAATCCAAAAACCAACAGTGTCTCACCTCTCCCGCAGTCTTCACGCGTATTACCGGATGTAACACTGTATCTGCCATTTGCTAACAGAGAAAAAGGAGGCTGCCTGGAAAACTGGAAGTCTTTACCAGAGTTGAACTGATGCTTTCAGTGAAATTCCTATGCCATGCCGAGTGGAGGTCAGTGAAGGTTAATGTTTATTGCTAGAGCGATTTTGGTGCTGCCTGTATGACCAAACCAGTGCAGAGCACAGCGAAGTAAATGATGCCCAGAAAAACAGCTCTTCCACAGAAGTCTAGATATCTTAGAGAACATTCCCACCAAACCCAAGCAGCACATCAAGCGCTCTTTGCTACCAGGCACATTTAGAACAGGCATTTGGTCATGGATCCAGAATTCCAGAAATCATCCTGATGGGGCTGGACAACGGAAACAAATTGGCGGTGGCAGCCCTCTTTGCACGACACTCCTCCCTAAGCCAGCCCAAATATCGAGCCATGAATTGATCGCATAGTCGCTGCGGAGAAAGCGTTGCACTGGACGCTGCAAGTGTGCAAAGCTGCTATGTGCTGTTTTGTTGTGACTGTGCTGTGTGTTCTGTTCTGTTTTGAACATTACCAATAGGATATTTAAAAATTAGGTATATCGACTTTTTTGAAACGTATATATTCGACCTTGACCTTGACCTAAATGCATGTTCTTTGAGTTCTGGCAATCTCATCAAAGTATCACCAAATGAATGGTCATCCCCAATTTGTTGGAATTGACCACCACTTAAACGGTTTTCTACATGTTGGGTTCCAAAAATATAAGTGCGTTTGCACATTGGACACCGGTGCTGACTGGGCGCGCCTATCTTTGATTTGACCTCATCACGGTCCTCAGAGGTCAATCTGACTTCCCTCCACATTCTGCAAATAAACACTCATGGTGCTATACAATACTATGGTAGAAATTTTCATGTTTTCATCATAAAATCGCACAATTGTTGTGAGTTATTCTGCTGCCACTAACACGCCACATATGTACATTATTGTGCATAATATACATAATATGTATATGCTATGTATATTATAATAGGCAGTAAGATAATCTATTATTCTACTTCTGATTATATCAGGAGTAGATAATATTAGATATATCTATATTATTCTTACTCACTGATTATATATATATATTTGTATATATATATACTTATTAGATGCAGGAATAATGTGTAGTGTATTTATATAGCGCTGGAAAAACATATCGTATACTATGCTATACTTATATGTTAGTACAGTTATGTTCATGCATGTATGCATATATACAATATAGTATATATATATATATATATATATATCTGATATATATATATTATACACAAATATACACTGTGGGACACGCTGGCGGTAGAAGTCAAACCACATCCTAACGTCTGCGGTCCCATGCATTACTTAGAAATATGCACGCCAAAATACAAAGTATAAAAGAAAGCAAACCTTGAAAAAATTGTACGAAAACCTGAAATGAAAATGATGTACGGAAGTATCTCTTTTATATTTATAAATTCATAACTCATTTTCAAATTTCTTTAAGGACAAAAAATTTGCCAATATGGATTAATTACATCAATAGCTACGGCAGTGTGCCCCACAATAAAAATGACAACGGTAAGTTGTGCATACATAATTAAATATATTATGTCTAAAGCCTTGAATAATGGTATAATAGCGCCTCGAACGAAAATCGCACGCATTATTAAATGACAAAATAAATGTACAAGAGGCCACTGTTGAAAATACTTGCACATAATTAAGGGAATTAATCATATCCATGTTTAATTATTAGCTATGCAAACGGCTTAGTCACTTAAAACCAACATGTACCACCTTAATCTCGTCCCAGCATTGACAAGTCCAATTAATGCGGCCATTGTTAAAATCCATATCTGACTTGCCATATATCATATCCCGATAGTAAAAGAACACTGGTCTACATTAAAATAAAGGGGCGAAAGTGACGGTTATAATAACGTACACCATCATGAAGACAATTAATTAAGTGCACTACTACATTAAATAAGCACATACATGCATGGTATCAGAAAGCTCATAAACTATACAGCAATTATTGCTACCCTAAATATATGCTAATATAAATATATATATACTATATATATATATATATATATATTATATATATGCACGATGCTTGCGGGTATGTTTGTTGCGAAAATTTCTGAAAAAAAACTTCTTCGGGCGTAAGCTCCGATTGGCGGTGACCTCTAGCGGAAGAGTCCTTTACCTATCCTCGACGACGCCAGTGGTGAGAGCTGACCTGAAGCTCCGTCCATCGATCACCCTGTCACCCAGGGGCCCGCCACGCCGGCTACGTCCAGAGCGGTGGCAAACAGATCCATCACGGTGCTAGCCTGTCTAGACGCCTGGGGCCCGTTGTCAGAAACAAAATGAGTCTTAACATTAGTCTTAGCATTGGTCTTAACACTAGTCTTAACATTAGTCTTAACATTAGTCCTTAACATTATTCTTAGCATTAGTCTTCACATTGTTCTTAACATCAGTCTTAATTAACATTAGTCTTGTTCTTAACATTAGTCTTAACATTATCTATAGCTCGCCTGTCTAGAGGCCTGGGGCCATTGTCAGAAACAAAATTAGTCTTTAACATTAGTCTTAACACTTAACAATTTCCTCCTAGACCGTCGAACATCACTGTGTTTCGTATTGTATGAGGAAATACTTGCCTAATGAATTTTTCATCATCTCGCTAACTTGGCAGCGTTTCTGTCAACTGGTCTAACCGAGAAAAAGTTAATGTTAAGAACCAAAATTTTGTTTCTGACATTGCTCTTGACAGCTGTCTTTGACCTGCTCTTTGCGGACCGCCCGGCAACAGAGAAGAGAGTGAGATTCTTCCTGCCCGCGCGGATAAAGTCGTCGATCGAACGGGATTCACGGGCCGTGCAGACGGCGGCACGCAGAGGAGATTCGCTGTCGCCTGTTTACGCGAGAAAAAGTCCCTCGTCCGTCAACAGAAAGAGAAAGATTCACAAAAAAGAACAGATGAACAGGAAAAAGAAACAGAACAGGAAGAAAGGAGAAACAACAGGAAAGAGTTTCCCCCGCGCATCGAAGGGACGAAGCGCGGTTCAGGTGGATCATAAGATTCAGCGTCTGTGTTTACCGGCTAGGTTGCCCATAGTTTTAGGGTTAGCACAGCATTATAAACGTAGACAGAGGCGCACTCACGAGAGAGTGCATTACCTCGCCAGCATGTAACATGTATGTGTCTTACGAGTAGTCGCCGTGCTGCTGTGGCGGCTGCCTGACTGTACTCGCCTATGCCTTGCCCTGACTCCGACGCCCTCATGGTGGACTGCTGCTGACTCGCCACTCGCTGACTCGACGCGCTATCGATCGCGCCAGGTGGCTACACACAACCACGATGAGCGATTTGCATGGACCTCCGTTTGCGCAGAAAGGTAATGAAGAAAAAGAAGGACAGCACCCACTCTCCCACCGCGTCATCGCTAGTACGAAACGGCGCAAGAGGGTTCTGCGGCGTTGTCAGGGCCTGTTTTACCACGTTTGTTCGGCGCAGTTACACATCT